ATCTTAAAATCGGAACACCCTTAGTGCCGTACACAATCACCTACGAGTGTAACAACATCCAGGCCTATGTTCATCCAGAAGAGGGCGCTTCTCAGATGCAACTCCCGTCCACGATCACTCCTCAGCATTTAGCAGTCAAATACTCTAGGGGGGCGTCCATAAATGACGTCACGCACCTGAGGGGGTCATACATTTGTGACGATGTGTGACGAGAAATGTGACGTCACATCAAAATGCGCAACTTTTAATAAATATAGAATTGTTATAACAACACTAATTATTGTAACAGCACTCCTACTACATCAGAGTGCAGCGCCACATTAAATACGCACTACAATGACAATAGTCTAAAGCGATTTGAAGCATGTTTAATTTTCAAAATGGTTTTGGGGGGGGGGCAGAGCTTTGTGACGTCATATTTAGGGGGGTCTGACTTTTTAGACGGCGTGTGACGAGGGGGGGGGGGTTAAAAATCGTCCAAAATCGCGTCACATCATTTATGGATATCCCCTAAACGCATGTTGTGGATTTCTAAATGTCGAGGGAAAAACCGGAGGACCCGGAGAAAAATCTACACGACCACGGGGAGAGAGAGAGACACCGCAAACTCCCAAATATACAGCAGCAGGCGTCAGGATCGTGTGCCAGGCGAGGTAGTCAACATCCCTTCCTTGGTTGCGGGGAAGTTATGATTATGTTGGTGGCAACGCTGAGAAATTCCCAAACAAGATGAGAATGCTCGCCCCATTTCCACGTGTGGACCTCATAATCGCCCATTTTAGAGGCAGGTATTTTTATATATGCAGCGTTTATACACAGCGTATTGTACGCACAAAAAACGAATATACCTACCCAGACAAGTCTCGCCGAGTCACAGTGTTTTTGTTGTTGTTGTTGTTCCTTTAATGGTATGTTGATTGAGCTATTATGTCGTATAATAGACGAATCATCCATTCGGTACTGTCGCCCAGCGCTGGTTAAAGAACGGTCCGCGGAAAGGAAATATGATAGGCCTATCGTCTTGGTTCTTTCGGTAAAGTCACGTAGAAGGGAAATAATAATGTCTTCCCGACAAACCTGTTCTTCACCTGAGGACGGCTGCTTGCGTTGTGGCCGAAACGTCGTGAGAATTATTTTATTATGTTTTATTTTTATTATTTTATTATTTCCCTTCTACGTGACTTAACCGAAAGGACCAAGAAGATGAATCCCTACAGTCACGAAAGATTTAAATCGAAATATGATCGGCCTACTTCTGAGAACTCTTTAAGTGACATTTCGTTATCTACACACGAGGTGACGCACTTTCCTTCCACTGCTTAACACATCTTCATTGCACTGCAGTCAAACCTACACAACTATATTGTAAAATTAATGATCAGACATCTATTTTTTTTCTAAAGTCTATGAAAACCAGAATGTAATATGACGGGATTTTTTTTCTTCTGCGCTATCTACTGACCAAGCTGAGACCATCAGCTCGATTCAATTGATCATTCGGATTAATCAAGGAGCGGTTGAAAATCGAGAGGGGACGTTCAACCGAGCGGGCTCAGGTCCTGTGACTTCTAAACCACCTGGCCACCCCTCGATAAAAAACTCTTAAGGGAGACGTTACCCAAAATAATATATCTGCAATCACATTGGCAGGTCGCGTGCATCGGTGGGGTTGAAGTGTGCCTACTCTCCCCTCTTCCGCGCGAGACGTCTGGAAAGACGTGGTAGAGTAGGCCAAATACCCTCTAGAAGGGTTCTCTCTCTCGCCAGATAACTCCAGCTAGCAGAGGCCCTTCCGCCAGCAGTGGCGTGAGCACGCAATTGCAGGGACTGCGCCTTTACCCACGCTGTGTCGCAGAATGTCCGACGCAAAGTGTGACGAGTCGACAATGTGGAAACAAAAATAGTCCAAAGTGAGGGCGATTGAGCCGCCACAGTAAAACCTCGAACAACGTGCGTTTGCGTGTCAAACGTTACGGGACAAATGCTGTGGTGATGACGTCAGCGCAGTGCCATAATGGTGCCCTTGCCCGTAAATCAAAATGGATCAGTCGCCACCACCATCCAGCAAAGGTAGCGGCGGTGCAACCCTGCAATTGCCTGCGCATATGTCACTGTCGGCAGAAGGGCTTTTGTGCCCACTCTTCCACGCTGACCAATCATCTTGAAAGAGGTGGGAATACCCTAAACTAAAACATCACTTACAGCAGACAAATACTCTAAACGCGTGATGTTGATTCTAATTGTGGAGGGGAAACCCGGAGGACCCGGAGAAAAATCCACGCAACCACGGGGAGAACACGCAAACTCTTAATATACAAGTGTCAGGGTTGGGATCGAACCCACGACCTCCTGTATATTAGGCCAGGTAGTTAGCATCTCACCACCACCATCTGCCAATGGACTTACTTGCACCGTACCCATTTGATACTGTTGAGTGGCAATTGTTTCAGTTGCCACGACGGTATATCGAACTTCTGCATTGCAAAAGTGCAGGGTGCGAAAACATTTACAGCAGGGCATCGTCCCTCCCCATAAAGAATAAAGAGAGAGAGAGAGGGGGGAGAAAAAAAAACTCAAAAGGGAACATTACTCTCGTGATACGTTTTCAGATAGTGTATCAACCTTAATCTTTGGTATCAAAAGAAGCCCTTTATGTTTTCAACGGCCCACGCCTGGGGCTGAGGGTTGATTCCCAAGGCGCAGTACTCTGTGAAGGCTTTTAAAGCAAGACATCAAATGTCTCGTACACACACGGCTCAAAGTATACGTGGCAGTTATAGTTTGTCATCAAAGAGGCCCGGTCTATTTTGTGTGTGTGTGTGAAAAACGGGAGCGTTATCCCTGAGTGAACTACAGTAACACCTTCCTCTTGTGCGGAGCGCAAGAGCTGATGCTTAAACTTTGAGATCACGGGGGGGGGGGGGGGGTAGGCAACAGAGACATAGATGCTCTGTTACTGGTAGGAACCACCTGGTTCCACCAGCCCACAGGGGATTATTGTGTCCGTCCGTCGTGCATCCAAAAATGGGAGGGGTGGGGCTGAGTGGAGAGGGGAGGGTGGGGAGGGGCTGGGTGGGGAGGGTGGGGAGGGAGGGGCTGGGTGGGGAGGGTGGGGCTGGGTGGGGGGGTGGGAGGGGTGGGGCTGGGTGGGGAGGGGCTGGTCACCCCGCGGTGCCCTTATTAAACTCAACGTTTAACCTACTCACGCCGGCTTGTGCCCGCCCTCACAGTCGGGCATATTTGCGGAATACACCACGCCGCCGTTGACCCTGGCCATTGACCGAGCAACCCAACGTTCCTACCAGCTCCCTCCGCAGGAATGAGTTTAACACGTAGTAGGCTTTCGCGACCAATATTATCCATAATAGAGGGTAGGTGGAGGCAAAGGCAAAGGCGACGAATACGACGACGTAAGTGTGGGTTGAGGTGACGCAATTCGGGTAGTTGTATTCATCAAGTGACGACGTATTTGCGAAAACGACGTAAAAGGGTGAGACGTACATTGGGGTATTACTATAATACAATAAATAAATTCAAGTCAACCACTGTATCGGTCCGCTGCTGGATGAAGGCCAGAACATGCCACATTGGCAATGGGGGTTGTTCGACCATCGTTCACCATGATGGACGGCGTGAGTGGGTGAAGTTCGGAGGATGGAGAGCAGGAGGAGTTTGAATATCCATAATAGACGTTGCTGGGTTAGATCTTGTAAATATCAATGTGTCGTTAAACCCGCCACCACTCGACACAGCCAATTAGTAAGGTTTGTAACGTCAACAAAACATTCCAACTCGTTACTAGTTCAGCAGAACACTGGTGTGTAGGAGAGTAAACCCACAACGTTTACAATTCGAGTGCGACGTTTTGCCGGTAATTACAACCAGTCTCATCAGGCGACAGCCAAAAAAAACCTCGATTATAGATGTTCCCCACACTTGGTGCAGGAGGGGGCGAGCTAGTTACGTGGCATTGACATGAAAATAATTAAACGAGTGCCAGTGTCAAATCCTGCCACTCCCGCCCCCAAAACCCGCCTGAAAAATCGATTATTATTGTTGTACCTCATGGTGCAGCATAGCGCACCCATCGTCTGCCTCAATGGGGTTCTCACGTAGTTATCTTCATTAGTTTTTTTTTAAACAAAATCCCTCGAATGGCAATCCTGCAAGACGAAAGAGTCAGTGTTGCCGTATTATGAGTGTCTCCTGGCTCGCCCGACCGATTGTGTCAAGTGGGATGATCACCACGTGTCACTACCAGAATTGAAGGTTACATTTGGATCTCGTCAGCACCACGACTACAATTCGCGAGGAAGGGAAAGTGTTCATCAACGCAACTGGTTGCGTCCTTTAACGCTTCTTCTCCCTCTCCAGTACAGGCCTTTTGCATGTACGTACGTATGTTGAACTTCGTTCGCGCCGTACGTAGCCAACCGTGCTAATCGGAGGTGCAGGGAAAGGACATCAAACTAATATCGAGGCCGCTAGGCCCACGTACACGCGGCAACAACAGCAGCAGCAGTCATCCACTGTTGGCGATCATCATGTTGCTGATGTGTCACTGCCATTCTTCTCCATTCTAATAATAATCATCAGTGTATGATCATTATAGGGGCACCACGGTGGCACGGTGTTAAATACCTCGCCTGGCACACAGGAGGTTCGCCGGTTCGATCCCGGGCTTGACGACTGTATATTTTGAGTTTGCGGTGCCTCTCTTCCCGTGGCCGCGTACATTTTTCTCCGAGTCCTCCGGTTTTTTCCCTCCACATTTAGAAACATGCGTTTGGCTGCAATAAGAGTATTTGGCTGCAATAAGAGTATTTGGCTGCAATAAATGTCCACGTGATAAGTCACTTCGTTGAGCTATCATTTGTGGCCAGGTCGCTTCTGAAAAGAGCTACATATCTCAGTGGGCCTTGCCTAGTAAATAAAAATTGTTACTTAGTTATTTGTATTTCTATGAGACTTAAACGCCTCAGAAACTCTAAGCGCCTTACATATACAGTGTCACCTCTGCTCCATCAGAAGTCCATCTTTGTCCCGGTCTTCCTCCAACCCCGCTGCATTCCACCAAGCATTGCCGATGCTCTCTCTTTGAATTCCCATTCTTGGCGTCATTCTTCTGGCACGACCGAACCAGAGCTGTCTGCATTCCTCAGTTCTTTCTGCCAAAAGTCACGAAATTGTCCGTTATTATTATTGTCGTAAACTGCCAAACACCGGTGGGCTGCAATCATTCTGCAGTTGAAGAAAATGTTGCTGTTCTCTCGTTAGAGACATCGCCCACGATGGGCAAATGCCCTATTCATCCTGAAGCCTAAAACAACTGATAATAGGAATTGCAACAGTGAATGTGTCCCTTTTTTATATTTTATGGCCACCCCCCCCCCCCTTTCTTAAAAAAAGAAAACCATGAAAAAAAAGGTCAAACTGTCATTTCCCAGCGGTTGACATTTTCCAGCAAGAGTGTGGGACGCGGGCGGCTAACTGAGCGTGCGCGCGGAGACAAAAAAAATCAATACCGCCAAACGGTGGCAATTGTCGCCATTCAAGCCGAACCGCTATAATACCGGCAACATTGCAATGGGGGCGCTTTCGCAGAGCGGACCATGAATTACCTTGCGCAGGGGGGGAATGACGGGGGGTGGGGGGGGGATATGAGACATCATCTTTGTGAGAGGAGAGGTGAGGTGCCCCCTTTACTTCTCTTTGGCCGTTTGGCCCGAGGCCACAAATACTACCGACAGTGCTGTTCTTATCAACTCTCCCGCCCGCCGCCCCCAGCGCCAGTGACTTACCGTGACGCGGCCGCGCTTTGGGATTTACTTATGGCGCACTCGGTTACAGTTCCTCGTACGTACGTATGTATGTTGCACTTCTTTCACACCGTACGTAGCCAACAGTGCTGATCGGAGGTGCGGGGGAAGGACAACAAACTTAACACAAATATCAATTTTAAAGAAATTATTTTCAATCCAGATTTAAAAGTGCACAGATCCAGTGGCGTTCCAGACGGCCGCAGAAGCGCATCTGAAAGCGCGCGATGCAGCGACCGTCTTTGTTCGATGTCTATCCAAAAGCCTCCGTTGCTGCGAGGATGACCGGAGTTCGCGTGACGGTTTATGCTCCTTGACGAGATCAGCGAGGTATTGTGGGTCATTTGTGGCAAGCAATTTATGTGTAACGAGTGTGACCTTATAACGTATTCGTTCGGCAACCGGTAGCCAATGCAGCCCGTGGAGTTGTGGAGCGGCAGTAATCGAGCTTTATGTTTCCTTCTGTTGCTGCTGCTGCTGCGGCGGCGGTGCTGGTGAGATTTCAGAGGGAATTAAAGTCACTTCTCCAGGTTCAAATCCGTTTTAGTCGTCGTAGGAAGTGGTGCACCTCCTTAGAATTCGAAAGATCCGGGAAGTGCTACATTTAAATTGATATTGGATTGAAAGTCTTCGGCATAGGTTTTCGGAAATTATGCCGTTACACCTACGGCTTATTTTCTCATTGGATATCATCCGGAAAAGTTGCCATGCTGGATTGGAGTCCAGTTTATCGATGTAAGATACTACCACTTAAGTACAAAGAGCACCTACCCATTATCATCCTATATTATTAAACCATATATTTCTATTATCCAATTAATGGGTGAGGGGGGGGGGGAGTATAAAAATAGACAAAATGAGCCGAGATGGATGTGGCTAGTCAAAATAATTCGCAGACCAGCTATTTGGACCGTGCCAGCCGATGACATTAGGCACCCATGCGCGGCTCTCTGATGCGTTCCAATTCAGTTCCCGAAGAAAGCTCCCAGCGCGTGTTGGACATCGTGCCGAACGGGCACGCGGGGACAATCGGCGTGCGAGAGCTACTGGTGAAAGCTGTTTCTCGAGCTTGCCTCCTGTATGTGCCCTGTGACAACCTCCCTCAGCAATGCAGACAGTGGGTGAACTGCTTAAATTGCGAAAAATCCACCTCGACAGTGCAAAGGGTCATCGTAATAATGCCGCTGTAATGACCATCAATCAAAAACAACCGCCACCATATACAATGTTATAGCCCCCGGGGGGAGGAGGAGGGGGCGGGGTAGTTCTCTGTTATAAGATCTGGGATATTATTTGTCCCTCGCGTTTTAATTATTTCTTTTTGCTTCCAACAATGAGTTCAGAAGAAACCAGTACCGATGCGGTGAAAATGTTCACTTTAAAGTTTGACGTGCAAAGTTTTTTTTTTATCAATTTGGAGTGGGAGCGGTGGCACAGTGGTTAGCACACTGCGCTATGAGCCTGTCAACCTGCGTACCTCCGATTAGCAGGGTTGCCTACGTGCTGTGCGAAAGAAGTTCAGCATACATACAACCCGAGTTGTTTCCTGGCAGCAGCTAACATTGGTGGTGAGTGGTATCTGAATCGGTCTTAGCTCCCATTTCCCTGCCCCCCACCCCCAGTGCCTCTCCTTTAGCAGTGGACTGACAAAGGTTCTTTATATACATTTCAATAAACATCCCCATGCTCAAATGGATATAGGTGGCCCTGAGCAGGTCACGTAAATTCCACATGCCTATGGCATGAGACCGTCTCTCCATGACAGCTGCTGGCTTTGGTATATAAATAATTAATTTGATAAAGTTCTTTTAAAAAATGTGATGTTTTTTTTACAAATCCACCACTTATGTCATGAGATATTGGATACATTTTGTTTTGAAATATTTTAAAATCAACAATTATTGTACCCCTTGGCACATCATTATTATGAAACCAATTCATAAATAAGACCGTGCGGTATCTACAACCGACGGTAGAACTCTATCGCATTAGTTTAAAACAAATACATTCCATCCATCTCAATCCACCAATAGATGATGACCTACACCAACTCCATGTCGATCATGGTTCGGAGGTTTTATCACCATACTTCGCCACTTTGGTGAGTGCGATTCGATGAAGGGCGTGGAATTTCACTCGCCGCTGATGCGTGCCGCATGTGGCCTGGAATCGAACTCCGCGGCTCAGCACGCTAACCACTGTGCCACCGCTCCACGGCTGTTGATTCCCCATGATGCATCAGCGTGCGCTTTCCCTCTCTCTATGACACCCGCTCGTTAGAGTTACCCGTCCGTAAAGACAAAGCACCGCGCTGAAACGCCATCCAGAACAATACCGATGGCCTCCTTCTCACCTTCCCATTATATACACACGTATTTACAAAACAGATTTTTTTTTTAACACGCTTACGCGATTGAACAAAGCGGAGTGTTTAAATAAAAACAAACACACGCGCGCACACACAAATGCAACGCATTCCGGTCGGAGGCAGCGTACCGAACTCATGATTAATTATATTTAATATACAACCCGCAAAAGGTTGTTGAACTGTTTGTGTGCCCTTGACTGACAGGCGCGATTATTTCGTTAGCGGCCTCGCACGCCCGCCTGAGCGGCCGGCGGGCGAGCCGAGCTGCGAGCGGAACGTCCCTCCGGGGGGTGTGGGGGGGTGGGAGCCCATTCCACACTCCCCCGTGCCTCTCTTACATTCGACCGTGACCCTTTGGGTCCACGAGGCAAACACATAAATAAAACAATGGCTGCGAAGGGCGACTAAGAAAATTAAGGAGAGGTGGGTGAGTGGGTGGGTGGGAACGAGAGAAAGTTGCGGCCAAGCAAAATGGAATTTGCCAAATCATGTAAAGATAATATAATCAATCAACTGAAGCAAAAGGCTGTCCCTTCTGCAACTACAAATGCCGCGCCGCCGCCACCCTTCCCACATGTCGCAGGGAGAGACGGGTGGTGGTATTTTGTCAATGTGCGGCGGTCAGTGGCGATGGTACAAGACCGTGTGTGTTGCGTGCGTGCATTCGCGCAAAAGTGTGTGCACCTACTCCGTCGTGATGGACTCGTATGCTCGTTTGAAGCAAGCAATTTCGGGCAACTATGTAAACAAAATCTTGTTTTTGTCCACACTTTCTAAAATGTCCCAATTTTTTAAAGGTCACATGATTGTTTTTGCCCTTTAAATTAGGGCCGTATTTGCATCTGTGGAATCTGGAAATGTCAATATATATTGGGCGATTTTGTCTTTACCATGGGGCTGCCAGTATGAATCCAGATGCACATGACCGTGTGGCGTTTGCTTGTGCAGTCACACAAATTTGTGCATACTGATGAAGCCAATCATAGGGATTTAGTGGTGGCAGAGTGCTGCTTCATGCACTGAGCTATGGATGCGGTGACGAGTTTGATTTCCGACTGCAGCTAACATCAGTGGCGAGTTATATATCTGAAGCGGTCCTGCATGCCCCCTTCACCAACCCGCTCTGACCAGTGCAGTGAAGTTGGGCATAAACAACCCGGTTACCTACATGCTGAGAGAGCCCTTCATCCAGCAGTGGATGTATTAAGAGCCGTATATTACGTTACCAAAACATTAATTATTTTATCCCATGAGCAATCACATATGGCAGGCAATTCATGAACTCCATTTGTAAAGTATCCCAAAAGCTCAAAGAATAATGAACCCTAACTCATCTCGATTGGCATCTCTTGAACCATTTCTGAAGATTCAGCGTTCCCATGGCAGGGGAACGCCTCTCATTCGGAAGCACAAGGGCCGTTGACTCTCTGTAAAATAGTTCTGATTGTATCAACCCTGGACAGATGATGGGTCAGCCACTGACCAGGATTTAAGCGTACAAAATACGATAATAAGTTTATGGCTCAGCCACAGCGCCACCCATCATGTCAGAATATCTCTCCAGCTAATCTCACGCATAGTTACGTAATTTTGATTCCCTTCATTATTCAGGAATGTCTTGGCGAATCACAAAACTAGATTTCAAGAGGGTCCTGCGAAAGTGAGATATTTGGCCACCACCATGGACGAGCGAGGAAAACGGAGCGCCTGGATACATCTCGCGCAACACAAGGGGGTAACATTGAAAGCTCTGCAAAGACCGATTCAATAATCAAGCAATTTCCGTAACGGTCATCTTTTGGTCACCTCGCTGCCCAAACCTACAACACCTGGGAATTCCCTTGCAGTCTCCCATCAAAGAACTATGCGGGCTCAAGCCTGCTTAACTTGCGAGATGCGACGGGATCGGGCACACTCGCATTCAGCACGTTAGTGATCATTTACATCTGTACGGCGCATTTAATCCGTAGATCCGTCCCAACACGTGCCGCCGTGTATGAAAATTCAGGAAATAAACAGAAGCTGCAACGGTAACGGGCAGAGATCGGAGGTTAAAGCCCAATGTAAGGAGGTGAGTTTTTAAAATAGACTTAACTATATATATATAACTCTTTGGTTCGTTCGGTAAAGTCACGTATAAAAAGAAGAAAAGAAAATAATAAATTAAATACTAGCATACGACGTTTCAATTGCAACACAAGCAATCGTCGTCAGGTATAAATGAAATAGAAACACAAATCTAGTATACTTAGAAATGTAATGTAATACAACAGAGAGTCGGATAACATAACAGTCAACACCCTACCTGGTTGATTACGTTCTTCCTGAGAATGCTAAATTTGAGGGGAAAAAAATGTTTTTATATATATAACGTCTCCGATTGTCTTGTTAGCAAGGGCAAAAAGTCCCGAGGCCTGGGAGGCTGCACTCGCAAAAAAGCCCGAACACCCCAGGAAATGTTGTTGGTCTGAGGCCAAAAAAACACCGCACGCCACCGACTTCATTAGCGCAAATGCCCCCCGCCCAACCTCCTCCTCCTCCTCCCCCACACCTCCACTTCATAAACAGGTCCCAGGTATGAAACATCTGCACGACGGTTAAACACGAGAACGAAAATAACAAACGAACGAGCCCACCACCTCGTGCCCGGAGGGAAGGCGGCTGCTGACCGGTGGCGACGCCGCCTCTGAGCTAGCTGCCAGTCGCGGGGTCGGCAGCTGGGAAGCGCAGGAGGCAACCTGCAGGAATTCACACTCGGTCTCTTCACATTACCTTCACCACCGTGATCACCCGCGGCTATTCAGACGTGACGCGGTGCACATTTTCACCTCCAGTGCACAACAGCGCCTGCACACCGGCGTGGACGGGGCCGCCGCGGTGGTGGCGAGATGTTAACTCCCTCGCCTGATCGTTTGCGGTGTCTCGCTCTCTCTCTCTCTCTCGCTCGCTCTCCCCGTGGGTTTTTTTTCTCCGGGTCCTCCGGTTTTTTGTCCCCTACACATTTAGAATGAGCGTGCGCTGCGAGGAGTCGGCTGCTGCTCTACATTTCCACGCGATGGGGCACTTCGTTGAGCGTCACTTGTGGCCATGTCACTTCTGAAAAAAAGTGGGTTTGACCTGGCAAAAATAAAAATAGTAGATGGTGAAGAGTTACGAACTTGTTTTTAAACATATATATATATACACACACACGGTAATAACCCGGTTTACGTCGGGGATGCGTTCGTGAAATGTGCAACGACGAATATTGAAAACGACGTCAATCGAAGCGATTTACTGGGTAGGTGGAGGCACAGATACGGCGACGTAAGTGTGGGTTGAGGCGACGCAAACCGGGTAGTCGTATTCATCAAGTGACGACGTATTTGCGAAAACGACTTAAAAGGGTGAGACGTACATTGGGGTATTATTACAATACAATAAATAAATTCACGTCAGCCTCTGTATCAGTCCGCTGCTGGATGAAGGCCAGAACATGCCACATTGGCAACGCGGGTTGTTCGACCATCGTTCACCATGATGGACGGCGTGAGTGGGTGAAGTTCGGGGGATGTGGAGCAGGAGGAGTTTGGATCGCATGAATATAAATGTGTCGTTAAACCCGCCACCACTCGACATAGCCAATTAGTACGGTTTGTCACGTAAACAAAACGTGACAATTCGTTACTAGTGTAGTGACATTGAATGAGTCACTGTAGCGCGTGGCGCTGGGATATTAGTAGACAATAGAATTAGGGGTAGCAGCCCGCTCTACCAGTTTGACCCGTGGGTCAAGCACGGAGCCTTCTGGGGGATCCAGAAGGGCGCGTGGCTGAGGGCGGAGCCTGGCCACGCTGGGGAGAATAAAAGGCGAGCTCCGACTCACAGTCGGGGCTGCTGCCATCGGGAATGGAACTCGTCATGCTGCTGGCGTCGTGGTCTTCGCCTCTTCAAGCTGTGGGTCTGGAAGCATGTTGGCTGTCCCGATCCGGTATGGAGTTATCCCCTATGGCTGTGAGAGCCGGAATAAACAAGAGCGATAACGCCTCCTACTCGTGTCTCTGAATTAGCACACTACACTAGTACAGCACGCCAGTGTGTTGGAGCGTAAACCCACATTTATAATTCTAGTACGACGTTTTGCCAATAATTGAAACTCGAATCCTCAGGCGATAGCCAGAGTTGTGGATAAATCCTCAAGTTTAGGTATTTAATAGAGGGGGAAATGTGATGTCGACAGTTTGGATATTACTCGCTACTGATTTTAGCTGTGGTCGGGAATTGAACTCGGCTAGCCAGGTTTGGCGTTTCGACAGCTTGCCAACGAGATGTTCCATGAGAAGGGATTATCCTGCAGGTGAAACATTTTAAGAAGTTGAAAAAGTTACGATCAAGAATTGAGTGATTGAAAACAAATAAGTGCTGTATATTCAACTACACACACAGCTGAGAGGTGTGAAGCCCCGAACTAAACGTTGACGGTTGATAACTAGCATAACATTTTGAAACGACTATATTGAACGAGTCAAATACGATGAATTTTCGAAGATACCAAATAGCACAGAACAAAAAAAAGAACTGCCCGAACAGGAGCTGCTATCGTCCGTTAGTACATGTACAAATTCCACGTTTGCCCCCTGGCTTTGTACAAACGGCGAGACGGGATAATTGTGGCGAGTGGAGCGGTGAGGTTTGTAAGAGAGGATAACTGCAGCTTCACGGGGCACAGCAATGCCAAACCTGCAACGGCTCTCGCACAGACACGGCATGAACTACTGGACGCGCGGGCTTTTCCCGTGAATACGTAGAGCCCTCTCTGTTGGTGAAGGTGGGCAGCATAGACGCGGAGGGCATAATACAGTACAATGGTGGATTTTGTTCGTATGCATCATATGAAGCGGTTGAGCAGTGGCTCAGCGGTTGGTACGTATATTACGTAAGGAACCCAGCCAGTTTGATTTCCACGATCACGGTCAACATCAGTCACGATTATCTAAACCGGTCCTCGAAACTCCCACCCTACCACCGCCTCTCCCCTTCCACCTTATCACTAACCAGCGTGGTGAAGTATGGTCACACAATCCGCCAATTGACAGACCGACAAGGCTTGCGGAAGGCTTTCATCCGGCAGTGGCCTTTTTTGTTTAGTTTGTTGTCCTTCCCCCGCACCTCCGATTACCACGGTACGATACTTACATGAACAAGCGAAGAAAAAAAAATTCATCTAGAAATATTCGGACATACGTTACAACCAGCAATCGTGCAGTTTTCCCGGCGCCCCGAGCCGTTGCATCGGGTGAGGAGCACGGAGCATTTACGCTGTTGTCAGGGCCCCCTGCTCGCCATCAGAAAGCCACTCTCACATTCGCACTGACAACTTAATTGTCCCCGAGGGCTACGGGGCTATTGGAACCCCAGAGATCCCAACGCGAGGAAATCTCGCGCAACGCACGCCTCGCGAAGCTCTCCCCGTGCACGCCAAAATGTAAATACTAAACACTCACCCCGCTCCTCGTCCTTCTCCCGTTATTGAATCGCAGGGGATACATGAGCCGGATGCTTTTGGATTCGGCGGGTTGATGGCGATGGTTGGCGCGGCGGTGATCGCGTTCGGAATACGCGTGGCTGTTCTCTCGGATTTGTTGCTGTTGATTTGTTTAATTTAGAACAAAAACAAAACATCATCACACCTGCTGTGACTTCCTCAAGGCGGTCCATTTATAGATATTTAACAGGTTTTTTAATTTTTCCACGAGCCGTCTTTTTCACCCTTCTCAACAGGGTGACTGAATATTGCCACAACGATGGCTTCGTGTCTCATCGAGGAGAAATAAACATATTTTTGAATCGGTGTTTTAATATTCAGTGAGCGCATTGAGATTGGTGGGCTTCTTTGCCCGTCACTCCCGTGCCACGCGATCAGCTCCACCGGCTTCGAATTTTATTTCGGTTTTCGTTGTGACCTGCAACCATCCACCCCCCCTCAAGACGGTGGGCGGGGGGGGGGCACGTGATCGTTGTTCAGTGAAAACCGTTTGTCCGTGACCACGTGGAAGCTGACATTTCAATTCCAAGGATCACCACCACCACCACCAGAAGTCACCGCAACCACCACCACCAGCAGCTAGGTTTGCTACCTCTGGCTGATACAAAATAAACCTGCCACATATACAGTATGTGTATATCATGGAAAGCATAATTACTATTCACATTTTACCTGCATGGGACAATCCTTTCAGATGGATCGTCTCATTTGTCATGTGTAAGGGTGTCAAGTGCCACATACGTATAAAGTGTCTAACAGTGTTAGACTAGGGGAGATCTACCAGTAATTGCGTTGTCTTCAGTGGTTATAATTAGTGAACTGACATAAATCAGAAATTTTTATGTCTCGGGAACACTCCCAGATTTTCCAGGACAGCAGAGACGAGAACAGGTGGCGACCCGCCCATACTGGACATCTGTGAAAAGAACTTCAAAGCTCATCGGATTCCTCCTGCAGTCTAAATCAAGATTCAGATTCTGAAAAGCCAGCAGCAGCGGCAGCGCGCCTCGCCCCTGTCCACCCTCGCCTGCTCGGAGCGTGGGCCCCTCCCCGACTCGACGTGAGACGAAGTTTTCGCGAAAATGAGGACAGGCAGGGTGGGGGAGGGTGGGTGGCCACAACTGGGCGAACTCCCCGACGGGAACCCGGGGCAGTGCATGAGATGTTCACCGGGGCGTGCGCGATGGTGACGCCTGGAGGCCACAATTATCACCACTTCAGTCCCACCAACGCTGCCACCCTCCCCATCCGTCACGCGGAGCCAACCGTCCGTGCGTGCGTGCGTGCGCGCGCGCGGCTTGACAGCAAGCAAATGTTGCCCTCGCGATTCGTTTTTGGGCAGGTGGCCGGCCGGCCGGCCACCCACTGGGTTTTTTTCCCCCCACAACGGGGCCGAATTGTAACCGTTGTTTCGCCGCCGCTGCGAGCAACTTGTGCGGCAGTGGCAGCGGCAGCAGCAGGCGTCAACGATCACAGCAGGAGACACAAACAAGCATTGTGAGTCATGTTTAATGTACCTGAGCGGAAAAATGTTGGGTGTGCATTTTTGAGAAAATAACCAAAAATAGGTCGAAGTGTCTTGACGTTCGACCAAGCGAGCGATGATGGGCGGTGCTCATAATCACCACCTGCAGCCCTGAGTCACTTGTGGAAATTCCACATTTCTATGGCAGAGACTAGGCCATCCAGAATACAACCACAGTGTTGAGATAACACAAAGCGGTATTCATTTTATTGACCCCCCCGAGATGATTGGCTGTCCACCACCATCCGCTCCCACCCCCTTCCCCACCAACTGTGTCGAACTCATGATCTCATATTGTGAGTTGGGAAACTCTGTCCACAGTCCTCGAATGTGCAACAACATTCTACAAGCAGCACATTTGAACGTGTCGCATTATTTCACTTTACATGAACACAAATTTGGGACGTTGCTAAAAAAAGAATCGGTCCGAAAAACTGCGACAACAACAAAAATTATAATGTACAAAAAAATACACCAGTAGACAGGGGGGCGTAGGAAGGTGGAAAGCGTGGGGTGGGGAGGGTGAAGATTTCCTGGGTGTGTAAAGTGTCACATGACTTGCCGTTCTGGGCGATAATGTCAAGAACTCCACTGCCCGGGGGCTCGGCTCGCAGATAATAAATACCTGCTACAAACATGAGATTCTCTTTATTTTTTTGCCGGGGCCAGCGGGTTATGGGGGAGCCAAGCGGATAACCTCCCTGCCTGAGAGCAGCGGCAGCGGCGACGCAGCCGGGCGTCTGGCGGCGTGAAGGTAACGAGACGACACTTTGCGAACGGCTCTCGACTCTCGTTTGTTACCGCTCGGCGTGTAACGTTGGTTCCCTCTTTGTGCGCTTAAGCAGGAATGCCACGAAGCTGTCGTGGTTTTTAAGAATTGTGTCCAAAGCGTAGTTTTTTTTCTATATATGTATACAGTGTGCGTTGTGTATATCCGGATTGCCCGTGCGAACTTTGTACCTTTTATGCAGCATATTATTTGGTTCTTTCGGTAAAGTCACGTAGGTATAAAATAAAATAGATCACGACGTTTCGGGCGCAACACAAGCGTCCGTCAACACAAGCGTCCGTCAACTGCTGCATAAAATCAATGTTTTAGGATGCTGCAACTTATGAACACACCCCAGATAATTACCGCAAAACGCGCTATTAGAGTCTAAAATCAATATTTTATGCAGCAGTTAGTACATTTAGATTGCGTAGGCGAGTAACCCGCACGTACAGGGGAATGCGAAAGTATCGTGACTTTAAGAATGGTGTCTGCAACGTTGTACCCGTGTGTGTTGCGTACATCTGAATTCTCCGCGCGTTGAGATTGTTTAGATTGTTTTGGTGCGATAATTGTCCAAATGATGGGCCACTTTGTTGAGCTATCATTTGTGGTCGGGTCGCTTCTGAAAAATAAGTTAATACCCCAGTGGGCTTTGCCTGGTAGGATGGGGATGGTTTAGTTTTATTTGTATATGTTTGGGTAATTTTTTTACTTTTATTGTATTTTTCACTACGATCATGTGTTTCGTACTACTTGTTGTCGTCACCTTCTTACCCGCCCTTACTTAACATCTGTGCAAAATGGTTTTATAGCTCATCGGATTCCTCTATTATAAATAAAGATTCCGATTCTGCTCAAGCGAGAAACTCGCACACAAGAATGCGTACTGAAGGTGTCGTTATTTTGTGTGACAATGCAGCCAATTGTCCCCATTGCAGTACCTCACTGCGCTCGTTAATCCATTACGCATCAATTGGCGAATTTGAAACCCAATTCACATTTTTGTACAATTCGATCAATCGAAAGTTTATCTGTGCGACTTCATTTCCGCCTACGCCGTAGAGCTGGTTGTGCACGACAAGAAAGCCTCGAATATTGCGTGGGCTCTCACTCTCTTGCAGACACCATTCTCTCTCTCGAGAGAGAGAGAGAGTGAGTGAGGGGCTGGTGGAGAGGGGGGGGGGGCTCAGTCATTAGGAGTGTCGAGGATGGGCGCCGTAGATTTTACGGAGAGGAGCTGAAGGATGCTGCAACTCATGAATCACCCCAGATAATTACCGCAAATCGCGCTATGAGAGTCTAAAGCTTAAGAATGGCCCTGCTGTGTCTCCGAACTAAGATTACAACAAGCCAGCACATGGCCGAGTGAAAGCGCTAATACATGTAAAAGTATATATATATACTTATTAGAGAGCTTTGCTGGTTCGCTCCTGGTTGTATACACGTGGCGACAAAATAGAGTAAATATAAACATCAAATATTAAACATAATATCAAATATTAAACAATAATATTTATGTTTATATATGTTTAGATATAAATGTTGTGGCTTGGCTCTCCAACACACCGGTGTGCTGTACTAGTGACGAATTGGCCACGTTCTGTTTACGTGACAACTCTTACTAATTGGCTGTGTTGGGTGGTGGCGGGTTGAACGACACATTTATATATTTACGCGATCTAACCCATAAAAACCCTCTTATGGATGATATTGGTCGCGAAAGCCTACGTGTTAAACTGATCAAATGTTAAAGTTCATAAAATGTGTGGTTCAAAGCCACATGTCGCATTTGGATTTTTTAATTATTATTATGGTGTAATTTGAATTGAGAAACGCGGCAATGTAGGTATCTAGGAAGCCACGGTTGGAGTTTATTCTCAATAAATTCAGTGCGGCTAATTGGCAACTTAGAAAATGCACACAAGACGCTCCAAACTTGTATTTGAAGTCCAGGTCACCCGTGAAAAGTGACAAGGTCGCGTGTGTTAAATATTGCATGTAACATACATGTGTATGCAAATACATTGCTGATGTTTAAGACGGATGTGGCTTATTATGAAGGGTGTGGGCTTGCTACAGATTAAGCAAGAAGTAAAGACAAATGTGGAGTGGAAAATGTGTTTTTCGACACGTCTTTGTGGTATTAAACACAAAGTTAACAGCTTGTTGCTAAAATACACGCGTACACACACACTTCTCACGTATTGTAAATGAATGTCAGAAAAAGCATGAATGTGTACTGCATTAAAAAATATTGTAAAGCAGGAAGAACGTTTCATGCAGTTCAAAAAATATAACTGTTTAATATATGCCTCAAGCTGACAGTGATTTTTTATATTTTTGAAAACTTAGTTAACGGCAGATTTCTCCTAAAAAGTATGCATGTGCTTAAATCTGAATGGCTTGTAATATTACATTCCACAATGTAATATTGTGGAAGGTGATAAAAATATGGTGCAACATCTGAGACCGTGCAACATCTCGTGAACGACTGTTCCAATCGGATCATTCAACGGCGATCTGCAAAAAATCCACGCGGCTACTCCTGAAGCAGTCGAATGGATGTCAAATCTCGACATCAATTTGTAATCTGTTGCAATCCCCAAAAATTCAATACAAAAGAAGAAGGATTCCACAACTATGCATTCGCTTTGTAAATATTTCCACAACCGAAAAGAGCAATATCAACCTACCAATGGCATCAAATGATTCGTCGTGAGCAACTTAGTGATTGATTTCTGCCCTGTGATAATTCACTGTGTGAAACTTTTTTTTGTTGTTCCTGCTGTTATTTCCTATTTGCTTATGCCTCAAAAGTACAGAAAATGGCTATTATTCCCCACAAACTTTTCTTTTGTGACTAGGACAGTAATGTTTTGAAAATTACCTATTTTCCAGAACATTCCAGATAGATTCAGTGCTCAGTAAACTTGGAGTAAATTCTAGAATATTCTAGAACTTTCCAGTAATATAAATAGTAGGATAAATACAAGGGGCCTTAAGCCCACCAGTTCAATTTAGTTCCAGCTGCCTAAGTGGATACATATCTGCATTTTTCTGAGATGACATCAAGAGGCTGCAAGCATCAAAATAGTGGCATTCCTGATGGGTCTCCAAGGCGGTTTTACCAAGTTTCCCTGCTATTTTAGCATTCGGGACAGCAGGGACACGAAGGTGCACTACCACAGGTGGGACTGGCCACAGCGGACCGAGTTCTCTGTGTGGAGGAACAACGTCAAGTGGGAACCACTGGTGGACCCCCGGAAGGTACTGATGCCACCACTGCACATCAAATTGGGCCTTATGAAACAATTTGTCAAAGCTGTAGATAAGGAGTCGGCAGCCTTCAAGCACCTTCAAGACTTCTCCCCTAAGCTGTCTGAGGCAAAGGTCAAAGCCGGTGTCTTCGTCGGACCACAGATAAAGAAGATCCTAGAGTGCAATGAATTCCCCAAGAAGCTCACTAGTAAGGAGAAAGCGGCTTGGAACAGATTTGTCGCAGTGGTTCGTGGCTTCCTGTGCAATCACAAGGTCGAAAACTATGTGGAGCTGGTTGAGGCTCTGGTGAAGAACTACGGCACAATGGGCTGCAGGATGTCCCTCAACGTCCATATCCTTGATGCTCATCTTGATCAATTCAAGGAGAACATGGGAGCGTACTCGGAGGAGAAAGGAAAGCGCTTCCACCAGGATATACTGGACTTTAAACGCCGCTGCCAAGGACAGTATAACGAGAACATATGATGGGAGACTACATTGGGGGCTGATTCGTGAAAGTGATTTACAGTATAATCGTAAATCTCGAAAAACGATTCGCTTCTAAATCTTTTGTAGTAATTTTTGTATTACCTTAGTATGTAAATTTTTATTCATATGTTGTTTTTTCTGACCTTATGTGAACGAAAAGACACAAATTCGCCCGTTTTCTCATTGAAAATATGTACATTTCAAAATATCACTGTACTGGTCGCCAAAGCAAAGTTTGTGGAGAATAATAGCCATTTTCTATACTTTTTTGGCATAAGCAATTAGGAAATAATACTTACTACCCAGGAACAAAAGTTGTGTTACAAAGTGAATTATTTGTCTGACAGTGTGCTGCTCTGTGCAACGTGCCCTTGAGATGCCGTACCAATCCAAGACGAATTGTCTGCGTGCCCACTTGGTTCTGTACGGCGTCTGGAGATGTGGTTGCACTTGGGCACATTAAATAAAAAAAATCCAAACAGTATTGAATTATGCAAGCGGTTACGTCTACACTTTGACTTATTATGCACAATAATGAATAACAATACATCGCATTTACAAGGCACATTTTCTACAAGGTATACTCAAGTCGCTGTGCAGCGCTAATAAACACATCGTTAGCCAAGTGGAGGCCGAATAAGTATCGAGGCGTGCAGCTCACAAGTTTTATAACCTCACTCCCTTCCTCGCGTAACGCCGTTGCTCGCCCTGACTTCGCGAATAACGGCCCGTTCACCCCACACGTTCGCCGTGACCTGTATCAACAGGGGCTGCTACTTCGTTGGGGAGGGGGGGGAGCAGTTGACAATGATCCGATGTGAAGCCCTGCTTAGCTGTGAGCCGTGCACAGATTGCCCAACACCTGTTTCACCTCGTGACACCTCAAGGCAAAACGCGAGCGGAGTTGTTCCTACTTCTCTTAGCAGAACGTCCACGCTGTCAAGTGGCGGCTGCTGTTGCGAACGCTTTTTTTTATGATTGCACGTTTTTATTTAACTCACTCGGTCTGTTGTTGTCGTTGTTGTTGTCGTTGTTGTTGTATACTCAAATCTTGTGACTCAATTTTAATCCACTTCCCAATGTGGTATCGACTGCAAACGTCGTATACTTATGTCTTACTGATGACAATACTATATTCTATCATCAAAAAATGTAAAAAATATTTTTAAATAGTATGTTTACACGCTTTCTATTAACTCACTCCGTCTGTTGTTATATCCGTTATGACAAGCCTC